TCGCTCGGCCAGTAGGCGCACAGGCCGGGTTACGCTATAGGCTGGGAAACTTGCAGCGTAGGGCGGAAAATGATGTTCGTACGGTTTGTTCTTGTTTTTGTTGTTGTTGTTGTTGTTGTTGTTGCTGTTGGGCGGTGCTAGGGTCGAACCGTGGCAGGCGCGTGCCCACTGCGAGAGGCCGTGTCCTTGACCGTTTTCCGGGGCCTCCACTGTAACCGGCCGCCGCTGGAAAAGGACCTCCACGGGAAAAGGACGACGAAGGCCAGCGGCCAACAGAAGGGCCTGGGGTCGCTGCCAGAGAGAGAGAGAGAGAACGAGGGTGTGAGAGAGAAGGTAGAGCGAGAAGACTGGGAGAGCCTTTCCGCACGCGGAGCACAACAGAGTCTGCCCTGTCAAGTGCAGCGCGTGGCGGGGCGGGGCGGGGCGGGGCGGGGCGGGGCGGGGCGCGAGTGGGGCAGATCTTCCGATACTTCTGCTGGGGCCATTGAAAGCTGGAAACAGAAGGGGGATGTATTTGTCAACAATGTGGGAAGGCCGTTTGTGTTTCGCGGGAAGGAGGGGGCCGGTTCCGTGCGAGACAGAGAGAGAGAGAGAGAGAGAGAGAGAGAGAGAGAGGGGGGGGGGGGAAGACGACGACGCCATCTGAATAGATCGGGGTGAGACCGATTCTTAAATAAAAAAAAGAGGAAAAATAATAACACTGCAGCAACTGACGTGGAAAAGATAAACGCCTTTTGGCCACCAGAATCGGAAGTCGACGAGGAAGAAACTGTCCTTATTCGACGTCCTTTTCTTTTTCCTGTTTTCCTCCGGCCTCGGCCGCCCCGACCAGTTATTGTGTCATGTGTTTTCTCTGTGGATGCGAGCGAAAACGCTCGGCCAATTACGACACTGTAAAGGAAAAAGCAGGTCGACCGGGACACAGTTTTCCCGCGTCGGACTGGAGGCTCCTTCATTCGGATTCCAAGCAGGTCTGCCACAACGTCACATTGCGTTACTTCGTTTCTTTAGCGTGTTTCGGCCTTGCCGGCGTACCCTCCCCGACGCTGCAAACTGAATTGTTGGTGAGGGCGAGGCAGTGTGTGTAGCTTGCCTCGCTGGGCTGCCCGGGCTTGCCGGGCTGGCCCCGCTGGGTTCTTGATGTTTGCTCTGCGTTGGTATCGGCTTCCAAACTTGGAGCCCACAGTGTGCCAGTGTCGCCCGGACGCACAGTGGTCTCCGCGGGACTGGCGGGGTGGGGCGGGCCGGGTCGGCCCCGAGCTGCCAACCTAACCCAGCTCAGCGGGGACGGCAGTCGCACAGTTTCAGTGTCTGCATATTGGCAGCACTGCGGCCTCAATAGCCGGCTCAAGGCCCGGCTGCGCCACGGATGCTCGGTCCGGCAGTAACGCAGTTCGCTGTGTTGGGTTGGCAGCCCTGTTGGCCACGTTGCACTTTTTAAATTGGACAGAGACTGATCCGGTGGAGCGCGGGGCCGCGAGGCGGGTGCGGGCCCCGAGCCCCGAGCCCCGACTGGGTCCCCAATTTGGCAGCGAGTCGCAGCGACTGCACGCGAGCAATGTCATTACCAACTTTGCAAATCATTTCCCACTCGCTTATCGTGCCGCTCAAGTCGGCGCCGTTTGCTCAGACTCAAGTGGTGTATCATCAGTTTTGGCGGCGCGGCAGTGCCTCGGCGCGCCTCGCAGCGCCCCGCAGCGCCCCGCAGCGCGAGCCAAGTTTACTATTCATTCAAAGGCAGCAAAGTGATTGAAGGCGCCCTCCGCTTTCACCCTTTCCGGTGGCCGGCCCGCCACTAATACAAATTGAAGCACCCGTTCAAAACCGGCGCCCTCTCCGGCCGCCCTGATTGGTCCGGCAAAGTTTTGCCGCCGGATCTGGCCGGATCTGGCCTCCAGACGTGACCTCCCGGACCGGACCGTTGTCCTCCGCCACCGTGCTGGCCGGGCCGTTCGAGCCCAAATAATCCCTGTCCCCCACCCCTCCGACAAAACACTCCCCGGTGCGAAGTTTAATCCGGCCCGTGTTTTGAGCCCCACTGTCGCTGAGGCTCCTAAGGCCTTAGAGTCCAAGCAGCTGGGTGTCGCATGAAGCCCCCCCCCCCTCCCACTCGGCAACTCGAATGGCGCGCCAGCAAAGTACCCGCCGCGCCCAGCCCAAGCGCCGCAGCCGCAGCCACCGCCCGCCACCGCCCGCCACCGCCCGCCACTCGCGCGGTAGGCACGTGCAGCACACGCGTGCGCTACGCTGCATACCCGGGCGCCAGCGGCCTTAAGTGGGACGCTGCCAGAGTGTGCCGCCGTCCTCGCCGCACTGCCTCTCGGCTTAAAAGCTTCATCCTCGGTGTGCCGGGAATGCGACGCCAAGTTCAAAGGCGCATCAAAACGAACCTAAAAGGCAAGAGAGAAGTTTCGGTTTCTATACGCGTTTTGAGCTCCAGAGTCGCCAAACAGGACTCGAATCGAACGTGTGACCCCACCAATGGATTCCTCGTTCGGAGAGCAATCCAATGGTGGGGTCACACGTTCGATTCGTGTCTCATTCAGCGACTCTGGAGCTCGAAACGCGTCCGGGGTTTTGGCCGCCTCCACCGGTCTTCCGGGCCGCTGTGCGCCGCGTGCTTGGCGGGGTACTTGTTCCTTATTGGGACGTATCGAGTGGTCCCTGGGGCCCGGGGCTCGCCTCGGCGGCCTCGGCCGGGCTGTTGACCTTAGACCCGCCCGGCGCGCCTCGCTCCGCCGCTCGCTCGCTGCGGACGGCGTCGGGAGAGGTCCTTAGCCCGAGCGAAGTCGAGTCGATGAGAAGTAGCACGCGGTTCCTGGGCACATCAGGCACCGCGAAGCACCGTACCCGACCCGGCACGCCCCCCCCACCAGTAATACCCCCCGCGCTCCCTTCCATTCACACTCGGCCCCTATATATCATTCCGTTCACCTTGGCTTCGTCTGCATGACTCTTTACCTCTTTCCCGCCTTCTGCTCCGTTCCTCGCTCTGCTCCCTGCCAGTCCGCCGTGGCAGTGCCCCGCCGCCCATTTCGCCCAAAACGTGTCGGCTTCCCAATTTATGGCGTACACACTTTGGGCCCCGCTATACGCGTCGTACGACCGTATCGCAGACAGAGTTTGTGTCGGGGGAGGGGAGGGGGGAGCAACGTGTGAATTGGGTATCAGACCCGTCTGTCTGACTGAAAAAAAAACGCAACATCAGCTCTAAGGCTATCGTGTGAGTGTGTGTGTGTGTGTGTGTGTGTAACCGGAAATCGCGATACGTTCTCATGTGTGTCAGTGAGGTGGAGGAGTAGGGGGAGGGAAGGATACCGTCTGGATTCGTCCATGCGTCCCTACAAAACTATACTGCTAATCGTCACTCCTGAAAACCTCGACTTCCAACCATGCACGTCGAATTTTCCAAAATTAAATGAGTTTTTCGAAAAGTTTTCTTTGGCAGTGCACCTGTCTCTGTGTGTCGAATAATTCGCTTCGTTCCCCACCTGGAAAGCGTGCACTCACAGCGACCCATCCATCCAGACGCCCGGACGGACGCGGCCGCTTGGGGCGAGGGCTGCGGCGCGCCGCTTCCGAAGGCCGTGTCTCTCTCGCACCTCAACGGGGCGTCGCGTGGGTGCGAAAGAGAGAGAGAGAGAGAGCGACGAAAGCGGGGCCGGTCGATCCACCGGACGACAGACAAGTGGCCCGTGGGATTGAGGTGTTATGCGATCACGGCGCGCACGGTGGCCCAGTGTCCGCCCCGACCACTCCCGGACGAGTGTCACATCCATCACTCGTGTCCGGGCCCCGGCCGGGCCCCGGGCTGAGCAGTGCCCTGTCTCTCTCGCACACCCACGGCGCGCCCCGTGCGTGCGAGCGAGACGGGGGCGGAACAAGGAGGGCCCTCGCGGCCGTATTAGCGTAATGGAAACGCCGCGGGCCCGCCGAACCGAAAGAACAAGAGAGGGTCGCCGTCGTCGGCGCAGCCACAAAGGCGTATGGCGGCAAGTGTCGCGTCGGACGGCCGAGCCGAAGGCAGCCTGATTCGTTATTTCGGAAACGAAACGGAAACGGAGGGATCGCTGGTGGGGCCACGGCGGGGCCACGGCGGGGCCACGGCTCCACAGTCGTTTGTCAGCCGGCGACTGACTGTGCGTCGCCTCGGGCGCCAAGAGCGAGCTCGGTAGGGAAGGAGGTCGAGCCGGGCTGGGGCTGCCGAGGGGGAGGGGGAGCGAGGGGGGTTCCCCGAAGCCACTAGGCCGCCCGGCCGCAGTGTCCGGGACTCGTCATTAGCGATCACATGGCCGGATCTGATGTCGGATATGCCGATGTGTGCGTGTGTGCGTTGGTGTGAGTCAGGAGAGACGTGGAGAGAGAGCGATTGGAGAGAGGGAGACGTAAGGAATCCTGTCATAGACCCTCCTAATGAGGATGACACATATTTTCCCTCTCCATTAGGGTGCGATGTCAAAGCAAAACTTGCGTGTTCGTTCGGAGGGAACGACCCAAGGAAAAGGAAATGCGGAGGAGCGGAGGAGGCGATGCTGTTCGATATTTTCTTCACTTTTTGCCGCTTCTCTGTAGGCATGACATAACAGTGACACACGCCAGGCGAGAAGCATTCTTCCGCGAACGTCTGCGACACTTTTCCTCGTGGACCCTTTCCGCTGCTACCCGTGCCACCCAGTGCCCAGTGCCTTGGAAGAACTTGTCCTTCCACACACTGAAAGAGACAGACCGAGTTCCTGTCGATGCCTGGTGATTCGCGCCCCAGTCTTCTGCCAAGTTTGACGCTCCTCCGCAGGTAGTCGCGAGCAGCCCAAAGCTGACCACTTGCTACTGCTGGCTGCAGCCTTCCTGCCTGAGCCGCTTAGAAAAATACCGCAGCCATGTCTCCACCCCTTTAGCCGTGACCACGAGAAAAAAAATACACGCAATGTTGATCCCTTGGGGGAGGGACTTCTGCTTCTTCTTCTTCTTCGACCTGTTCTAATCCATCAACTTGTTTCCAGGTGGCGTGGGCCCAGCAGCAGGTGGAGAGAAGGCGGACCAAGAGGGACTTCCGAGGAGAGGGATCGCTCACTGCCCTGACGGCCGCCGGCGTCGCTGCCGGCGTCGCTAACGGCACCAGGGCGGCCCGCTCGTCGGGCCCCTACTCCATGTTCCCGGACCCGCTGTTCAAGGACCAGTGGTACCTGGTGAGTGCAAACGGGGAGAAACGGTGCCAGAGGGAGGGTCTAGCTTGCCCGCCTCGCTGGCCACTGGCGGTCCTTCTCATTCAACGAGTTCGGAAAGAAAGAAAAGCAGCATTTCGTTTAGGTTGACCAAGTGTCGAGTCAAACAACTGATAAGCATCTTGGCGCGGCAAGTGGAAAGTGGACACGGGGGGATGGAGGGAAGGAGGGAGCAGTGACCGTTTGTTTCGTATCAAAGTCTCTGCTTGCGGCTCGCTTAAACACCTTCCTCAGTCCATTAAACTCCAGGTGTAGTGAGTGAGAAGGGCCGCAAAGAAGCGAAAAAAAGAGAGGAAAAGGGAAGGGGAGGCAAGAAACTTTTTTCTCGTATCTCCCCTCGCGCTACGCTGCGCTTCGCCACGCCGCTTCGCCGCGCTGCGGCGCCTTCCCCGCGCGACACGGCCAAAGTAGAGGCAAAATAAAAGCACATTTATGTTGCTTTGTTATTGTTTGTCGCGACACCACCTTGCCGCTCGCGGCGTGAGAAACAAAACAACAACAACAAGAATGAGCCGCACAAAGAGCAAAGAGACCCGCACCCGCATGACCCTTGAAGAAAGGGAACATTCCTTTTTTCGAGTGCACGCTTTGGCGCGGCTTGGAGAGCGTTGGTCTGTTGCTTGGACGCATGGCGTTTCCGGTGCATTCCCGTCCTTCCGGTGGCCGGCGGGACTCTGATTGTGGGGGAGTAGGCTCCAGGCCTGCTCACCGCGTCTTTCTGAGGCCTCCACCCCCGCCGTGCAAAGCCCAACACAGACGCACCGCCCCAGAGCCGCCTCAGTCATAATGTATAATGGGTGGAAAGAAACGGGGCTTCAACTTGAGCTCTGCAAGTCGAGGCTGCGTTGAGCGCGCGGCTGAAACACACCACCGGGTCATACTCCACTCCCCCGCGATGGCTGCCCATCTCGATGCGTGTCCGAGTTTCGGTAAATAATGCTGGCCTCGCGTGCCTCGCGTGCCTGCCACTCCGATCCCTTCCGTACCTTTCGTCTGGCCCGCCACCGCCAGCCACGGCTTTCCACAGCCCTGCCATGCGGCCGCCCCCTCCTACCCCGCAATGCCCCGGTGGGAATTTTCCTTGAAAACGACCAAGGTAGATGCGAGCTTCGGCTCCAGTAGACACGTTTCATCCTTCGACCTGGAAAGTAAAAAATGACAAAAAATTAAAAGAATGCACTTTGTACTTAAAGCTGGACCCTAATCCTTGCAATGCGGTGAAGAAAATGGGTCAGGTGAAGAAATTGGGTCAGGTGAAGAAAATGGGTCATGTCCTCCTGTGACATCCAGACGAGCCTTTGGTGCTAGTTGTCGAATACGCTGAGCCGGTCCTGAGCAGAGGGGCTTCCTCCGCTGTCATGTCGATGGGCCCCTCCAGGCGCCCTAAGTTACCCGGAATGCGTAAGACAGCGTCAAATCCGGACTCGAGTGTGTGGCGCGGCGCCTGGAGCCTTGGCTGGAGCCTTGGCTGGAGCCTTGGCTGGAGCTGGAGGCCGGGGCCACCTCCCCGCCATTATGCTCACCGAAGATAAATTAGACGGTGGGTGGCGGGTGCGCCTCGTTAGACGTGGCCCCGTCTCTGGTTTCGCCCCCCTTCCCCGCCGCGGGTGCGCCGCTCCACTGTGGAGGCGCGACGTAAGCGGACTTCTGGCGCGACATCCTTTCCCTTCATCGCTGTTCCATCCTTGTTCCGCTCATTACTTGGACCGAGGGATTATGCTAATACTTGGCCGTTGTGTACGGCGCAGGTTGTCCCCGGGGCGTGCCTGGAGGTACCAAAAACGGGCCGGCTCGTTGGCCGAATGGCGCCCCGCTAGTACGCGGAAGTGCCGCCACATTAGAAAGCAAAAACTCCCACGATGGCCCAAAGGGTTGCCAACCTCAGGCGAAACGCAAATTCTAGCGCGCAGCGCACAGATACATGCCATTTGGGCGTGCTGCTTTCGGCAATTTTCAGCTTGTGTCGTGGTTACACTGGCAAAGGTGCAGTGCTGCCTGCGAACACGCACAGCACAGCTTGGCGGCCATCAGCGAGGAATAATTGAAGGCTGGTTATGGCCGCAACTAATGCCTCCGGCCTTAACTGGCAATCCCTGCCCTCGTTATGGCTATTCAGCCTCGAAGACACTCCAGTCGGTTTAAGAGTGTGAAGCGCCTTTGGAGGCTGGCGTTGTTGCGTCGAGAGGCCGACTCGAGGGCCTGGCTGTGCCTGGCTGTGCCTTTCCGGCCGCCTTTGTACGGATTAAGTTTGTAGTGCAGGGCTACAGCGATGGCTCCAGCCAAGACTCCAGCCAAACATCGGCGCGAACGAGGAAGTTCCGCAAGTTCCGGGAAGCCGCCGCAACTTCAAGGCCAGCTTCGCGCCCTGGATCCGGGATTCCCGCTGTCCGCGTGCTTGACGCGCTGCTCGGTTTGAAACGGCCGCCAGCTCCCCCCGCCAAGATTCGAAGCCGCGGGGACGACGGGAATGACTTTGGCGGCCGGATCGATGTAAGGGAACGTTTGATGGCATTGGAGTGATTGGCAGGCACGCGCAAATGATTAAGGGAAGGAGCGAGTTGCCTGCCCTGTCTTTGACAGGCGCCGACAAGTGTCGACGTATCTTGCCTCCCCTTCCTGGTGCCGCCCCTCCCCCTCTCTCCCACCCCTCTCCAACCCCTCCTCCTCTCTCTGAGGCGAGCTCTTAGCTGGAGGACTCTTCCTGCTCGACGCGTGGCATGGCCGCCGTCGTGTCGCGACTCAGGTCGTATTGTGGGGAACCAAGTCAGTATTCGTGTTTCGAGTCGGCAACCCCAGAGCCACGGTCTCTCTCCCCTTTCCACGTTCCGAGGGCCTGGAAGGAAGGCTCTCACCTCCTCCCTGCCAGATTCATCGTCTCCTCCCTCTCTCTCCTCCTTCTCCGACTCATCTCGCCGCGTCTTTTATAGACTTTCACATCGTTAAACCGACCCCCACGTACCGAGAGTGGCTGCCCCGGCCATCCGGTCCGTGAGCCTGGTGCCCACGAGTCCAAGACAACGCAGCGCTACACTGTGAACGCTCAGGGCGTGCCGAAGAGCAGTGTGGGTGCGCTCGGCCCTCTGGACGGAAATCGGGGAAGGGACACGCACCCGGAAACTGTTTTGATGTTCCGGAAGACGAGCATGGAGGTCAAGGCGGTGCTGGAGGGGTGGGCTGGGTCTGTTCCGGTGGGTGGCCGCAGAGAGGGGTACCGGCCGCGGGGCAGCACGCAGGTACGCGCAAAGTGGTGGCCGTTGTGATGCCCAAACTATTACCGTTCCCTTCCAGCGCTTTCAGCAATGCAGAAGATCGGGTGCCGCGGAGGTCGTCGTGTTCCCCACGGGGCGTTGGGACGGAACCCTGTTCTGCCTGTGGCGAAGTGAAATGGGACGGACCGGTGCTATGAAAGGGAGCCCTCTGGCCGGGACGCAAAGGACCGCCAAAGCGTGCCGGACTGACCTCACTAGCGGAGTAATGCCGCTTGGCAAAGTCACACAGTCAAGCGAACCATTCCGGACCCGACGAGGAAATTTGCAGCTTTAAACAGAGATTTTGAGTATGTTTTGAGTAAAAATGAAAAAAGTTGGCAGGTCAAAGGCTTCTTCCCGATCGACAAGGGGAACCACTGACGTCACCCCAAAAAGGGACGAGGGTGAGAGTGAGTAAAGCGGAAATTTGCAAATGTGATGACGCTTCTGGTAATGAAAGCCATCTCTCCCCGCGACGCTTGAACCCTTCCCTTGCAGCTAATGCCCATTGTTCACCAGCGACGCGCTGCAGAGGGGAGAGCGAAAAAAAAGTGGAATTAAGGACGTTTTACAAAAGCGGATGGACGTCAGACTGCTGCCAACAGCGTCATTATTGTAGCGCTGCGGCTTGTACGCCGCGGTAATTAGGCCCACCATATTTTCAACTACTTCTTGTCTGGCCGGGCGATGCTCCGTGAAAACTCGCTGCGCAAACCTCCGTCTTTCAGCACGGCTCCTAACGAACTTGGCCGCACGCTGTGGCCGTGTCTAGGGCGCAGGCGAGGCGCAGGCGAGGCGCAGGCGAGGCGCCGGCCTCGGGGCCTGCAAGCGAGCTTTCAATCTTCCCGCGAGAAGCCGGAGGAACCGAAGGAACTGAAGCTGTGCTGAAGTATTACGCAGCTACTCAGGGATTTGAACCAGAATCAGCAGAGCTTGCAGTGAAACCTGACTATGGCGACTTCTCACCGCGCTCCACCCCCAACCATGTTTTTCCCTTCAACATTATACAACATGAGGTAATAATGAAACTTACAAAAAATATAATTCAGATCGTGTTGGGGTAGCTCCACACTGACCACGGGGTGGAGTTCACCGCCTCGAAACCGGGTTCACCACCGAAGACCAGGACAGCGAACTCCCTCTTTGTTGGCAGAGCCTCTTCCCGCCCACTTTGTCTCTGGCTGCCATTTGACGACTGGGGCGACTGGGGCGGCTGGGGCGCAGTGGGCGCAATGCCGTTCCGCGGCGTAATCGCTGTCACGGTAATGACGGCCGCCATTCCGACGTCGTCGTTTTCCCGCGCTTTTCCGGTTTCCCTCCGGAAAGCGAGATCGCCGGCGCTGTGTGCCCGCTGGCCTCCCGGCACCCCAACCATCAAGTCCATTATCACGTGCAGCGCGACTTTGCCACGTATTTGAGTTGGGCTGATTTGATTGTACACTTCTGATGGCCTCAACTTGGTGTGCTTACACATAGGGCAAGGCGGATTTTCGAGTGCGGTAGTTGGCAAGTCTCTCCACGGCGAGGGGGTGGCTCTGTAAAGAGCTCGGCAGAGCGGGGCGTTGATTTATGAACGCGTACAGCCACTGGGCTCGCTCATCTTGACTCCGCGGACGGGCGTGCTAGGCCAGCAGCGTTGCCAACCCCGGCAGACTCCGGTTGCCTTCTCGCCGGAAGGATCTTCAAGCGTCGATGACGCCAAGTGCGCGTCATTCAGAACATATTTCAAAAAAATATAGGAGGCATTCGTGTTGCCAAAGCTTTCATCTTCTTTGGCCAAACGCTACGATTCTTGCTCCCAAACTACTGGGAGCAACGTCGGCAAGTGACACGAGGGGGGTACCAAAGTCACTTGCTGGTCAAATCTGCGAAGGCTCTTCGGTTTTTGCTGTTGGCAGCCAACAAGTTCACAGTCACCAGCTTGTCCGCTCCTGGCGCCAAGTTTCCGCTCAGGTGTGTTTGCTACCTGGCGGTCCAAAGCGGGGCCGGGGGAGGGGGTGGCAGCAAATCAGGCCGGACTGCGTCAGCGCCAAGGAGATGTGAGTGCCGCCCCACCTGCCAGGGCCTTGCGTGCGCTAGCGTGCCTGTGGCTATGGATTGCAAGAGGGGCCTCAGCTATTTCTTCCTCAGCACTTGTTGAAACACCTACAAAATTATTTCTGCGAGCTACCTTCTTTGTGAGACGGTCTGCCGGCTGGAGGACCGTTTCCCTCCTGGCCGAGCACGGTGCTTGTAGCTTTTCCGGGAAAGTGTGACACTTAGGCAAAGTGCGCGACTTTATTTTTTTGTTGTTGCTTGTTTCAGAACGGCGACACGGAGGGCTCTCTGGACATGCACATCCAGGACGCCTGGCAGCGAGGCTACACCGGCAAGGGCGTTGTCGTGTCCATCCTGGACGACGGCATCCAGGGCAACCACCCGGACCTCTCGCAGAACTACGTGAGTACCCGCTTGACACTGCACCTGTGATCATAAAAGTAGTGATAACACTTAAAGGGCCACGTTAAGAGTCTCTTAAGGACATTTGTGCTGAACAATACGGACATCGCTTTGTTAATAAAAAACAGTTTTCTGTACGTCTCTTTTTTGTCACTGTGGGGGCATTGCTCGGTGGCACATCTTGATGTCGCGGTGGGTTGAGGGGGAGGGGGAGCTGTTGGGGGGCGCAGCGTACACATTGCAACCCGCATACCTCTTCTTATCTACCAGTGCGCGGTCCTGAATCATGTGACGTTCAGAGCGATGCCACCCACCTTCCCTTGTGTATCCACTGCGCTATCCACCCTTGGGCCAGGCGGTGCGGTGCGCGTGATGGAGTGCATGCCGGTGCAAAGTAGCCCTGTAAAAGCGTGTGTTCCCCGGTCCACAGGTGAGCGCGGTCCACCGCCGGGTTTAACGCTCGCAGCTTCCGTGTAAACGGCGAATCAGAGCAACCAAATGTGGTCCCAGGGGCCATTTCGTTTCCATTATTGAGAATTTCTCCATCCCTTCTTCGGCTTTTCACTTGCAAGATGGGCTTGTAACTGCTGCTGTATTCATGACGGCGAAAGGTTGTCTTCACTTTGTGCTTCGACAATAAAAGGAACAGAAAAAGTAGACGCAGCACCCTGAAAAAGTCAGTGGGCGGCAAGTGCCACCCACGTGCCGCTCGTTATGCCCATTGCCCTTTTTGCGGTGGACCCACAAATCACCAACCGCCAATATACATGTCGGCGTGGACGTCTGTCGCGCTATTGCCTTCTCAGTGGCCGCGGCCTGGTGGGAAGGGCGCACCTTGCACCTTGAACCGCCGTGAGGTTGCGTTTTCTTACCGGTTTGGCAGATTAGTTCCAGCCTTTCGACAGCGCAGTGAATTATAGGACTGAACGTACTCGCCTGCTTCGCTCGTTGGGGGAGCTTCGTCCACCTCGGAGAGACGGTGTGCCTTTATCCAATTTTTTGGACGACAGCACTTGAGGGGCTGCATTGGTTGCAATAGACTTCCTGCAAAGGGTTGAAAAGGGAGGCTGGAAAAGGGAAGCATCAGAGGAAAAAGTTCCATTCAGTGCGGTGGGAGGAAGCTCGACGGGGTATTTTGCTACTAGCACAACACAGTCCTCCTGGCCAACAAAACTGCTCCAATTTATAAAATGATTATTTAAGGAGCGTTCTTCCTTCGAGAAAGGCTCTCTGACGTCTCCAGCGGCAGACTTCCTGGTTGGGTCTCGGCAGCCGCAAGCCATGAGCAGCTTGTGGTTTTGGGACCGCGAATGTAGGGTTCTGCTGCGCTGAGGGGAGAGGTGCCCGAAATAGAAATGTGGCAGCGTAAGTCGGTCTCCTAATTGTGTTCCCCTCTTCTGGAAAAAGGAGTCGCAATTGCATTTATGAACGGCGACGCCCTTGTCCACATGCTGGAAACGCTGCTGACGAGGCTGGCCTGACGAGCGGTAACTCAATTTAGGGCATGTCGCCGCGCTGTCTCGGAGGTAACAACTCATTGTGTCTCGGTGGCCGCGTAATCTCATCAGCAGACTGATTCCGAGAGTCGTTTTCGTCGCTGCGTCTCCCTCGAACTCTTGGGCCGTCCCGTAGAGGTGCGAGAGAGACACAGCGACGAGACCGACTCCCGGATTCAGTCTGCAGCTGTGACACAACGTCTTGCGCCCTCGAGCGGCGTCCGTCTGCCAGACCTGCCAAAAATGAAATGCCGTGTGAACGCACCAGGTCCGACGCAACGACAGCAGCTCGCGAGGTATGCCCCACTGGCTGAGATCTAAAAGCACGCCAAGTTACGTAGCCCTCATTCCGGTTGGCCCGGCCCTGCTGGATCCGCTTGCCTCGGCTCGGCTCAGCCTTGCAGTTAATTGCTGTATGCGAGTCGTGTCTGGCGCTCATGTTGCCTCACGTTCGTCCTCCTTTTTCGCCATTCTTTCTTTTTTGCCTTTACGTCCTCGTCGTTTCCCCCGCCAAGTCGGGCCTCGTGACTCGCCGGGCCGGCCTGTGTCGCAGCGCGGCAGCCTGGCAGTGCGCAGCGATAGCCAGCCGGTATGGATGTGCCCGCCTAGGCGGCCTATCCGGGCTATCTCGGTCGGTGACATTGTAGGCCGAGTGGCAAGCCGAGTGGCAGCGACGGCACGGCAGCCAGACGTCACACGCCCCACGACTGCAACTTTGAAACACACATAGACAGGGCAACAAAAACGGCGATAAACCAGACACAACAACAACTTTGAACAGCTCACCATACTAGTTGTTTCTTTTGCCCCTGCCCCTGTTTCACGGGGAATCTCATCGGATAGCTGCTGCGCTGTCCACAACGGCGCCTGGGAAGCAGAGGCGAAGCACGGCCAAGCCTGGAAGCCTCGTTATCGGAAGAGGATTGAGCCGTCGGTTTCGGTTCCTTTTATTTTGCCAAACTTTGCCGTTTACGTGTGAGGCTGGGTGAGTGTAGGTGAGTGTGTCTTTAGCCAGGAATGAGAGAGCTGATCTGCGGGCCGCTCTCCCTCCAGCCCCCTGCCTGGGCCAGGCCTGGGTCCGCCTGGGGCTCCCCTTGTCTCCCCGTGGCGCTCTCTCTTTACTTTCTGAAGCCCCGCTGCCCCGTTCCGCTGGCTGATTGTCGTGCCGCCGCTGGTGACGCTCTGCACACCCGCCCTAATTTTCCTCTCGTTTTGCGCACATTCATATACGTCGTCCATCCGAATACTTTCTCCGCCCGCTGTCCCTCCCTCTCTCCCTTTTCCCTTTTTACTCTCGCACTCTTTTCCTTTTAATGCCGGCGGAGGTACGGATTACGAGAGGGCTGCTTTCTCCCGCCACCCCTCCTCCACCCCCTGCCATGGCTCTGTAAAACCCCGGCTCCGATCCTAAACCGCACATACCTGCCGCAGTTTTAAAACTAAAAGAAATAACGCCCAGCTCGTTGCGCCTCTGGCCAAAATGAACGACGCTAGTTGCGCGTGGAAACGTCCACACGTCACAGCAGTCTAGTCCAGCGGTTCCCAACCTTTTGCGGTTCGCGACCCCAAATTTGTAGCCAAAACTTTCCGCGACCCCCAGGAAAAATTTCGCGACCCCACGCGACCCCTCCTTTAGCATGCCTTTGTTATGGAGTGCGATTATCTGCCTTAGTTTGGGAGCAGTATTGCCGCAAAGTTGATCAAAACGGTCACAAATGTCTTAAAAAATCGTGTTTTGGGCCGACTTTAAGCATCTACTGCGTCTGATCCGAGGCGGTAAATCGTCCTCCCTCAACGGGCAATTGGTCTTTGGACCTTCCTTTTGCATGCCTTTGTTACGGAGTGCGATTATCTGCCTTAGTTTGGGAGCAGTTTTGCCACAAAGTTGATCAAAACACGATTTTTCAGACATTTGTGACCGTTTTGATCAACTTTGCGGCAAAACTGTTCCCAAACTAAGGCACATAATCGCACTCCGTAACAAAGGCATGCTAAGGTAAGGTCTAAAGACCAATTGCCCGTTGACGTAGGACGATTTACCGCCTCGGATCAGACGCAGTGGATGCTTAAAGTCGGCCCAAAACACGATTTTTTTACAGACATTTGTGACCGTTTAGACCAACTTTGCGGCAGTACTGCTTCCAAACTAAGGCAGATAATCACACTCCGTAACAAAGGCATGCAAAAGGAAGGTCCAAAGACCAATTGCCCGTTGAGGGAGGACGATTTACCGCCTCGGATCAGACGCAGTGGATGCTTAAAGTCGGCCCAAAACACGATCTTTTACAGACATTTGTGACCGTTTTGATCAACTTTGCGGCATTTAAGCAGCCAGTGCTCGGCGTGTGGGCCAGCCGGGAAAACACCGCGACCCCAGGCGACCCCAGCCACCTCGCCGCGACCCCTCGAAATTTTTTCGCGACCCCATTTGGGGTCGCGACCCCAAGGTTGGGAACCGCTGGTCTAGTCCAAAAGCACACGTGGCCGTGTGGAGGCCTCGTGGCGACTCGATCGAGCACTCAGACCTCGTCGTCGAATGAAAGGGGATTGAGAGAGAGAAGCAGAGAGAAAGAGGAAGAGAATGGTCGGACTGCAGCCCGCTACTGCAGCACACGCCTCCCAAACTTTCACCAAGTTTCTCACTGGGTTTATTATTATCGGGTAAAAGACTGCTGCTGCCCGGCAGGCCGGGCCGGCACCGCCACTGCATTTCTTGCCTGGAACCTTCCTAGTTTCGCTACTGCCGTGGTGGAGGGGGAAGCGGGCATCAACGCTGAGCCCCTGCGAGACAGCCTGCACCGCATTGCATGGCCGCCAGTTTCCTCCGACGCTTCGAAGCGCGCCGCCAAAATGGAGAGAGCGAGAGATATTTATTTTTCGCGTTGGATAAGTATTGGGAAGACAGGGCAAACCGAGCGCCGCCCGGGCAACTCTTAAATGCCTGCAGAGACGTTTGGAGCGACGATTGTCTGCCGCGTGACACATTGATCTTACTTAGGTAAAGAGGATTTTCAAGTTTGAGGGGGCGGCGCTGGTGGGGCCGCCGTCTGCCCGGACGGCGTGGCGCGCCGTGGCGTGCCGTGGCGCGGCTCATGAAATTACCTCGCTGCTTTGACCCAGCACCGCGCCGCCGCATTTTTCTCCCGTCGACTGTCTTTCAAAGCCGGCAGCGCGAGGCTCTGTGAGTTTCCCGCCCGGATGAACCTCGCACCTTGAGGGGCTGCACTGCAAAAAAGGGAATGAGCCAACCGTATTATCCGTTTTGGCTACTGTAGAGCACACTTGGTCGGTGAATCTGCAACATCACCACGCGAATCAACTCAAATTCAGTCGATTCGATTCAACTTTTGTGGCAGTTTGAGTGTAAGGGGCCGTCGATAAACGGTCTAGGCACGCGCGAAGGTTCCGTCAGCATCGTAGAAAGTGACTCCTTCATCAAGAAATCTTTCGCCCGGAACGAGGAAAGTTCAATTTCTTGTACCAAGACAGTTTTCTTACTTCGCT